TTCAAGCCCCACACTGGGCGTAGAGATTACTTTAAAAAAAAAAAAATTTAGTAACCACTATACTAGGCCATAGCCTAGTAAGAAATTAAAATTCTTTTGCAACAGCCTTTCTATTCTTTTCTACAATATCATTTTCAACCTGGGATGTCTACATCTTTCATTCAGCAAAAATTAAAACATCAAGTATAGATCCAGAGTAAGCAAATAAATCACTCCACTTAAAATCATGAGTTTAAGGGAATATTTTATTATTCAAAACTTCCCAATTTAAGGTTAATCTTTTTTAAAGATTTTATTTATTTATTCATGAGAGACACACAGAGAGGCAGAGACATAGGCAGAAGAAGAAGCAGGCTCCATGCAGGGAGCCTGATATGGGACTCCATCCTGAGACCCCAGGATGATGCCCTGAGCCAAAGGCAGACAGCCCAACCACCAAGCCACCCAGGTGTCCCATTTTAAGGTTAATTTTTAATAGTATTTTCAGCAAATGAGAGAAGTTGAAGTGAAATCACTCAATTATTGCAATGTCTGACATAATTAAAAACAAGAAAGTATCCAATCCTAGATTACTAGTCACAGAACATCAGCTCACTAAAATGGTTTAACAGCTGAGCTCAGAAAAGTCATATAGCTCTGACCCCTTTCATATCAAAACCAGCCCTATTATATTTATTCCTTTTAAATTATTTTCATAAAAATCACTTTTGGCAAGGCAGACTATTACAACTTACCATATATGAATAATAAAAAATACCATTTATTTCTATTGAAGAAAAATCATGGACTCTGATAAGCCATTTCTATAAATCTGTACATTTTTACTAATTAACTACAGGCTGTGATCAATTAACTACAAACACCACTGCACTCGGACCAGTCTACAGATTAACTACAATTTTTGATCTACATTTAAACCTACATATAAACTCAAAAGCCTGCCAGATCTAATAATTTTTTAAGACTTTATTTATTCATGAGAAACAGAGAGAGGCAGAGACATAAGTAGAGGGAGTAGCAGGCGCTGCACGGGGAGCCCAATGCCGGACTCAATCCCAGGACCCCAGGATCACGACCTGAGCCAAAGGCAGATGCTCAACCACTGAGCCACCCAGGTGCCTCAGAGATCTAATAATTTCACATATGAAATTATGTACTAATACTTCAAGACAGCTATTTGTACACTAGTTCCAAGATCAGATTTTTTGTGTAAATATCAAATGATAGGTTCAGGAGCTTTTGAATCTGATTCATTTATTTTCAATTCAGAATCTACAACAGTTCGGTTTTTTTCAAGATTTTATTTAGTTAGTTGAGAAAAAGTGAGCAAGACAGAGAACCCACGCACGGGGAGAGAAGCAGACTCCTCCCTGAGCAGGGAGCCACATTCAGGGTTGATCCCAGGACTCGGTCACAACCTGAGCTGAATGCCGACGCTCAACTGACTGAGCCACCCAAGTGCCCCTCTATCACGTTTTTCTAAGCAATTCTCAACTAGGAGCAATTCTGCTAAATGTCCTGGGGGGGGGGGGATGTCTGGAAACATTTCTGATTGTCACAACTGGAGGGGAGGGTTGCCAGGAAGGCGTGCTACTGGCATCTAGTGAGGCCAGGATGCTGCTCAACATCTTACAAAACACAGGAAAGCCTCCCACAATAAGGAACCATCCACCCCGAAATGTCAATACTGCTGAAGCTGAGAAACTCTAGACCACAGAAAAGTTTATAAACACGGAATCCCTGGGTGGCTCAGCGGTTTAGCACCTGCCTTCCGCCCAGGGCGTGATCCTGGAGACCCAAGATCAAGTCCCACGTCGGGCTCCCTGCTTGGAGCCTCCTTCTCCCTCTGCCTCTGTCTCTGTCTCTCATGAATAAATAAATAAAATCTTAAAAAAAAAAAGTTTATAAACACTCATCTGTCTAGAAACAGTATTCACTTCATCTTTGTTTACTGTATTACTATTTGCTAATGACAGTCTTTAAGTACTAGACTTCCGCAACAAACTTATCCTATCCCTGTCCTTTCAATCAGCTTCTAACTCCCAAACTTGTCGATAATCATTATCTCAGCCAATTTTAAAATCTCATAGTCTTTGACACACCTCTATTTTTATAATAATAGTGGTAGTAATAACAGCAGCTAACACATATTAGCTCTTACTATGTGTCAGGCACTAAAAGTACCTTCCATATATTAACTAATTTAATCTAGGTACTGGGGATCCCTGGGTGGCTCAGCGGTTTCGCGCCTGCCTTTGGCCCAGGGCGCAATCCTGGAGTCCTGGGATCAAGTCCCGCGTCGGGCTCCCGGCATGGAGCCTGTTTCTCCCTCTGCCTGTGTCTCTGCCTCTCTCTCTCTCTCTCTCTCTAACATAAATAAATAAAAATAAATCTTTAAAAAAAATTTAATCTAGGTACTATTATTATTAGGTGCTCTTATCCCCATTTTACCAATGGAGAATACAAGGCATAAAAAGGTTAAATAACTTGCCTAGGGTCACACAAATACACAGTTAAGCCAGTTATCAAACCCATACACAATGGCCCCAGAGTTCATGCCCTTAATATTCCAAAGCAATCTCTATTCTTTCATCTTCTATACTGAATCACGAAGTCCTTTAAGTTCTACAAGGACAGGGTCTCTTATGTTAAAAGCAATATTCCCAAAGCTCAGTTACATAATAGGTACTCAAAAAACTTCTGTTTATTGGATGAATGAAATATCTCTCGAACTTTCCCATCCTATTTCCTTTGCCTCCATTTAAAGCCAGTCTTTCAGCATTTCATACTTGGGTTAATATATTCTATGAATTAGCCAATCAGGTAAACTGATATAAAATCCTCTGCCATATTTTCCATCACCCATGCCCAGTTAAGCATATCTAAAGCTTTCTTGCCACTGCTTCAATTAGAATAATAAAATCTTAAGAGTCAGAAAGTACCTTCGGGATCAACCAGTCCAGTATTTTGCAGATAAACCCAAAGATGGCAAGTAACTAAATCTCGCAGCCAAGTAGAGCTAGGACCAGAACTTGATTCTTGCAATGTTTCCTCTAGGATTCACTCCTGGAGGACTTGCTTCACTCCCAACAGATGTCTCCTCACTATCCCATCAGCAAATCATGTTAATTCCCATTGTTCATGCTCAAGTTGTTTCTCCTGCCCAGCCTGCCTTCTTTTCCTTTTTCCAGAGATTCAAAACCTATCCACCCTTCAAAATCTCTTCTTATTCCATTCTTCATGATATTCCTCCTTCTCTGAAAAGTCTGTCTTCAGTAAGATCCTGGAGGAAGAGAATCACTGTCGCCTACTGGGCCAAGTTTGATGTACACTAGCACTTCCCACAAAACTAGGCTAACTTGGATGATCTTCCTTGAAAACTTATTATCCATTCTTTCCTCCAGTGCTTTAGAAAGTAATTTTAATAAAGACTAACTCACATATAGCACCTCCATAAAATGTTCATATATCTGGAAGAGAAGCTCACTCACATCTTTAATAGTACACGTGTAACACCTGGAAGGCCCCAAATCACTTATCTTCTCCATTTAGAAACAACTCAGCATATTCACAAAGTCCAAACCCAGAGCTCTCGGATACAACTCAGCCAAAAGCCACAGTTCCTTGGGTTCATCTCTTTCTTTGCATATTACCATCTATCACTACTTCCTCCAAAACTCCATTTCTAACAAATAATTCACACTTCTTTTTCTTCCTCTTCTTCTCTACATTGTGTATTATAGAACCGTGTCTCTTTTATCCTTTATTACTTAGTGAAAACTCCAGTTTGCTACCACTCATCCAACCTCAATTACCCAGTCCTCTTTATATATCAAGTCACATCTACCCCCTTCAGCCTAAAGTCTCATGGTATTCCAACCCCATGAAGGTCAATTTTGTTTTTCCCTCTTCTCCACTCTTCCTTCCTCTAGAAAAGTGGTCTCAAAAGTGGTGTGGGTGCAGCTCAGATAGTGCAAAAGGATCCACTGGGCTGCAGGGGAAAAAAAAATTATTAGAACTCTCATTACTTATTTTTTTTCATCTTACCCTTTCTTAAATTCTATTTGTGTGCATTCATGAGTTACATAACGTGCTGGTACAGCAGAACAAGTACATATATAATTAACAGATAACGAATTCTTGGAGTACGTGCTCTTTTACTGATAAAAGGGTATGATCAAAAGAGTTCGGAGACAATCATTCTAAAAATACCTCGATAATAAGACCAAAGTAATAGGTTCCAGACTGCAGAGGATTTATGTACACATGCACAGACTGTAGGAAGAAAACTCTTGTTCATATCGAAAGTCCTAACCATGCCCACCAACCTCTAACCCCTGCCAGCTTCTCAGAACTGAGTCCTACTCAAGAGCTCAGAACATAGGACAGTCTGGCAAAGCCTTTCATTTCCAGTTTGGGGGGGAGGGGGGTGGAATCTCAAAAGCGCTGAGATACTACCTTTATCTTTGCCATATTAGAGTATTTCTGGTCACTGCTCTCTATTCTGACACTGCTCATAGTCTGACTTTATACGTGTGTATACTTTATACGCCGGTAGCTCCTGAGATGCAGTTCCTACTTCCAAATCCCTGGAGGCACAACCCCATTCCCCTCGCAGACGACCGGGTTACACGAACACCTCCTGGACTGAGCTCACACCTCCCAGCACCCTTGCCCCCCCCCTGGGGATACTATCCTCCGGCCTCCCCGAGCCACACAGTCCGTCCCAGGGGAGAGGACAGTCCCTCCACCGTCCCTGAGCCCACTGCTCTTTCCTTCTCCGCCCCCGGGAGCTGCCAGCCAGGCTGGAGACGGGAGGGGGGAGGGGTGTGACTCGACTCCCGTGACTGGCCCAGATGGCAGCGGATTCCGCCCCCACTCCCAGGCACCCCGCCGCCCCCCGACCCCCCAGGGCCGCCGGTCTCCTTCCCGCCCCGCCCCCGCCCCCGCCCCAGCCCCGGCCTCCCCCGCGCCCTCACGCCGCTCCCACACACACTCACCATGCTGGGTGAAGATATTGAAGCCGGCCTCCGCGGTGCGCCCCGCCAGGTCCCGCCTGCGGCCGGAGGGCCTGGCCACACTGCCGACCCGGATGCCGCGGGGCTGCGGCTGCTGAAGCCCCGGAGCCTCCCCGACGCGGCCCACCTGCTGCCCCATCCCTGCGCTCGCGTACTCCCGCGCCCCCCGCCGACCCCAGGTCACATTCCTCCTCGGCTCCGGCCTCGGGCGCCCGGCGCTGCTCCGGCCTCTCCTTCCCAGTCCAGGCCCCGGCCCCGAGCGCTCGGGCCGCCGGCGGCTCCGCACGCGGACTCCTCGCAGCAGCCGCCGCGCTGCCTCTGGGCGACTCACAGACTCTCCCCCTGCCTCCTCCTCCCGCGGCTCCGCGCCCCCAACGCCGCCGCCGCCGCCGCCGCCGCCGCCGCCGCCGCCATCTTTAAACCACCGAGCGCTGGGAGAGCGTGGGACAGAGCGTCTCCCGCCCCGCCCCGCCCCGCCCCCCTCCCGGCCAGTCACCTCAGCTACTCCGAGGGAGGGATTCCCGGAGGCCCCGCCCCGGCCCCGCCCCCGGCCCCGCCTCCTCGCCGGGGGTCCCCCTCGCGCCCACCTCGTCCGCGCGGCCTCCTCCACGCCTCCGGGTCTTTCGGTTCCTCCCCCGCCCTTCGCGCCCCCCGGGCCTGCGGGGTCTGGCTTCGTCTCCGCCGACCCCTCCCACGTCCGGCTCTCCGAGCTGCCGCCCTTCGGAGGTGCACGGTCCAAAGCCTTCCCGGTCCCACCTCCACCTGTCAGGTCCGTCAGGCGCGCGGAGCGCCCCAGGTGCACAGCAGGCTCGGTTGGGACAGGAAAGCGCGCGGCGTTTGCTGCTTGCCATCCAGGTGAGCATCCCTGAAACGCCCGGGAGGACCCTTTTCAACACCGTTCTCAGCAGGCCTAGTCTAAGATTATACAAAATGTACATGAGGGTCGTACAAAAAAGGTACGTTATTTCATTGTAATTTTTTGAGACCCTTTCATGATGTTAAATTGTCCTCGCCTCCGTTGTCTGCACTCTGCAGCCTCATTGGAGAGGCACTTACGGCCCAATTCCTCGTATTACCATGAATTCCTTTTGAACTCCTTTACCGTCTAACCACGTGTTCTGTTACCCTTACAGTGCTCGACAGTAAAGCTGACGGTGCCACTGGTGTGCTTTATATACCGTGCCCCTGGTCGGGTCTTCCTTTGATGACAAAGGAGAAAAAGAAAATTTCTCTTTGACCCTGTTTCTTTTTTTTTTTTTTTTAATTTTTTATTTATTTATTTATGATAGTCACAGAGAGAAAGAGAGAGAGGCAGAGACACAGGCAGAGGGAGAAGCAGGCTCCATGCACCAGGAGCCCGATGTGGGATTCGATCCCGGGTCTCCAGGATCGCGCCCTGGGCCAAAGGCAGGCGCCAAACCGCTGCGCCACCCAGGGATCCCTTTGACCCTGTTTCTAAGTCAGAACTTACTCATCATTAATTTATTTCGTCCCAAGAGAGTGACTCAAGCAGCAGTGTTTGGATACATGCACACACATGTGTATGTACAAATATTCACAAATCATTGCCCCACTGCACACGCTTGCATCTTAATATTGATCCAGTTTTTTAAATTCTCAAAGAACTTGGTAACTATCTTCTTACTATTCCTTTCACTTCCTTATTTACTTAATACAAAGTATCTGTTATTACAGGTTCCACACAGAAAATATGCTTAAAGTTAAAGCAGACAGGATAGGAGACATTTCAAAGAAGCAACAAAACATTCACTAGGAAGATAGGTTTAGGGGGGAAAGGCAGATGCAGCTCTCCTTTACACACCTTTCATAGAACCAGGATGACCTTAAAAAAAAAAAAAAAAAAAAAGAACCAGGATGACCTTAGATGGACCATCCATTGACATTGATACTATCAGAGCACTATGGAATTATTCCATTGTGATCCAGGGTAACCCCAAATAACTGAAATTGCCCCTCCCCCAAAAGGTAACAGAAACACTGTGCTTTAGCACTAGATAGAGTATGAATTTTCCATTTGGATCAAAGCTTTCCTGTGTTTAAAATATTTTTTTTTCCTTTTAATCCCCGAAGCATTTGCAACTACTGGGGAAAAAATCAATTACAAGGGATAAAGGTTATCATAGAGGTAGAACTTGTTGTATTGTTTGGTTTTTATTATCTGAGAGAATACTAATTTAAGCATAGCAGTCTGGCTTCTCTGCTAATTCATGCATGGTACATAACAGATGAGTATAGTACAGTGGCTAAGGGCAGGGATTCTGAAGCCAGACTGAGCTCAAAACTGGGCTCTGATACTTATTAGGTAAATACCTAACCTTATCCATGAGGTGATGATGATGACAACAATACCTACCTTATAGAGCTGTTGTTAAAAGTAAACTGGTTAACAGAAAGCACTTAAAACGGCATTTGGCATTTAATAAGTGTCAGATAGCATTTACTACTAGCACTCAAAAAAATAGTGTTATCAGAAGTCCATCAGATTTTCCAAGCCACATTTTTTCAAGTGGTGTAGCTTAAATTATGGAACAAATGTTACAGTATTTTTTCGGGTGAGGCTCCCTCCACCACTTGCCACCAGCTAACAACAAAAACACCAACCAATAAAAACACGTGGAATCATATTGCCTTATTAGTCATCCCTATGTGATTATGCATATGTGGACTATTATATAATACCTTTGTTTTGCATGTGAAGATTTTTCTACCATTGATTCTTAATATCCTATCTCGACTGCAACAAATATCTTTCAGGTGGAGACTTAAGATATGCATTATCTTGTAGATATTTTCCATTCTTTCATTTTCATTTATTTAAAAAATTTTATTTATTTGAGAGAGAGCCAGAGAGATCACAGAGGGAGAGGCAGAGGGAGAAGTAGACTTGCTGCAGAGCAGAGAGCCTGACGTGGGGCTCTATCCCAGAACCCTGACATAGTGATCTGAGCTGAAGGCAGATGCCCAACTGACAGAGCCATCCAGGCACCACCATTCTTTCATTTTCAAAGTGAAATGGGAACTTTAAGAATGGGGGATGGTGACATACTAAGGAGAAATCTATTTCATTAGGTGTGGGAAATGATTTCATCTCAATGTAAGCAAAGTACCTTGCCTGAGGATTACATTTAAAACAACTAAAACATTTAAAGGATCCCAAGTAGTACCATCTCCAACTGAACTGAGGGCAACTGTGAGCTCCAGGCAGGGGCAGAAACCGGGTGAAAAGAAGTAGCTTGGATGGTGCAAAGTAGCTCAGGGATGATTTCAACCAACTGATAGCCAGGGGCTGGCGTGAGAGATCACACAGACCCATCACCAACGTTAACAAAGCAACGTTGAAGGCACAGATGCTTATCATCTTTACCTTCCCTGTTATAGGAGCAACAACACTATTTCCAGAAGCAAGGGACTTGTGAGCAATGCCTCACTGATCCCTGTCTTTACCAGTCTGCATTTCCAGGCTATTGCCGCATTCTTACATTGTCTTTTCCTATTTGCTTTTTTCTCTACATGTGAATGAACAGTGTTCTTTTAGACTCAGCTCATCTCAGCTGCATTTTGCTGCTGTAAGCCTTTCCTTCCGAGTAACTCACTAACACAAAAATATTTCTTCTGCTCATCGCTTTGACGACAATGTTTCCCCTCCCCTATTATGTACGATGTCCAAATTTTTCACCTGTTTCAAAAATTATTTTCCAGGACCCCCTGGATTATAATTGCTTGATATATGTCATCCTTTGTTCCTCAAATCTCCACCTCTCCTACGGCAGGCATATATGTGTTTTATCCAATTAGCCTGTTTCATGATGTCTTCTTTCTTAGCTATGACTTTTGCAATAATCATATTCTCCGCAATATGGTTCCCAAGTGACTCCTCTTGCAGTACTCAGGATTCTGCTCAGATCCTGTCTTCTTCATAAGAGAATCTCAGACTCATCCACAGACCCTTAACAGTTTCCCTGGATTCTACTCAGTACCTAAAACAAGCACAGCTGGTAATAACTCTTTGCCTTAATATTTGATTACCTTCTTCTAAGGTAATTGGAGGGGAGGTGGTGTTGCAAGGCTCCACAATGATCCCTGTCTTTACCAGTCTGCATTTCCAGGCTAGTAAAGGTGTGAAATTTTGACGTGTGGCTCAGCATCACAGGGTTGGAAAGAACCTTAGAGGTCACTTAGGCTAGTCTGGAATTCCCTCTACAATAACTCCAGGGAGGGAACTCATTTACTTTGAGGAGTTCTTTTTTGTTTTTGTTTTTGTTTTTTAAGTTGGGGGGGGTGGGGGTGCCTGGGTGGCTCAGTTGGTTGACATTGGACTTCACCTCAAGTCATGATCTCAGGGTCCTGAGATCAAGCCCCATGTAGGGCTCCCTGCTCAGTGGAGAGTCTGTTTCTCTCTCCCCTCCACCACTCCCCCAGCCCCCACAGCTCATGCTCTCTCTCAGGCCTGCTCTTTCTCTCTCAAATAAATTAATTAATTGTTTATTTAAAAATAAAGAGAGAGAGAGAGAGAGAGCACACGAACAAGGGTAGGGGCAGAGGGAGAAGCAGACTCTTCGCCAAGTAGGCAGCCTAGGGCTTCATCCCAGGACTCTGAGATCATGACCTGAGCCAAAGGCAGATGTCTGCTCAACCAGCTGAGACCCCAAGATGCCCCTAAGGAGTTTTTTTAGGATTTTATTTATTTATTCATGAGACACACACACACACACACACAGAGAGAGAGAGAGAGAGAGAATGAGAGAGAGGCAGAGACATGGGTGGAGGGAGAAGCAGGCTCCATGCAGGGAGCCCGATGTGGTACTTGATCCTGGATCCCCGGCATCACACTCTGGACTGAAGGCGGTGCTAAATCGCTGAGCCACCCGGGCTGCCCAAGGAGTTCTAATTGTTAAAAAGTTCATCCTAAGGATAAACTGACACATGCCTCCTTGAAACTTCTGCCTTTTTCAGCCTGGTCCTAGTTCTACCCAGTCGATGAACAAAACAAATCTAACCGTTCTTCTATAAAACTGCCCTTTAAATATTTGAGAACTGTCACATTTCCCCAGATCTTTTATTTTACTGTTTGTATACATGTATATGCTTGTATAGTCACGTTTATCTCTGTTTATATTATCTATGTGGGCTAAAAATATTTATGTAGATAAATTGGAAGAAAAAATGTCATTTGATATGTAGCAGTTTTTCCTTTCCCATTGCCCCCTAGCTTTATTGAGATATAATTGACATACAACAAACATATGATTTAAGTCATACAACATGTTGATTTGATACACATATTTTGCAAAATTATTATTATTATAGCTTTAGTTAACACTTGCATCACATCATGTAATAAC